TCTCTTGAGGCCGTCTCCTTCACATCCGCCACAACCCTCAATGATGAATTAATCGCCTCATTGCGTGAGGCGCAAAAAACAATGCTTGGTCTGCCCGCGCTGAATTGTCGTATGAGACCAAACAACTTAAATGAAAGAAAACGATCGAACGCAAAGGGATTATTGGAGGTGCTTGGGTACGACAGAATTCGTAATGTCAGCGGCACAGGCCTGTCTGCGGAGGTGAAGGAGAAAGCACCACCAGGCTCCACTTGAAGCCATTCCGCAAAGTCCTCAATGTTGGGAAGCGTACCACTGGTGGCAACAAACCGAGTGGAATAGAAACGAGGTCCACGACTACTCATGGAAGCCTTAATGGCTTTCATGCGACTCACAACCGCCTCCAATGCGGCCCCTCTTTCTTCGCTCACGGTGTGTACTTCGTCCAAAAGTAGCAGAGCAACCGATGCCACCAAACTCCAAATCACCCCTTCTTTCCACCTACGCGTGATGCTGTCCCATCGCTCTGGTGTTGTAATGATAATATCTGCATTGGGAACTTCGAGTAATCCACCCTCTTGCCCTCGTGACTGCTCTTGATCCCCTGTTTCAAGAGCCACAGAAAGAGTTGGAAACATTTCCCGCCATATTCCATACTTCTCGCTGGCAAGTGCCTTAATTGGGCATATGTATACGGCTTTACTCTCCGATGCACCCTCGCAACCGACCGCGCTGCCGGCGTTTGAGGAGTTGGGAAGAAGACGGTCCCGAAATAGGCGCAGCATCGCCACCTCCAAAAGGGCAGTCTTCCCGCTGCCAGTCGGTGCGGCTACGACGACGTTGGCATCACACTGGAGTAACGTCGGGATGACATTCTCCTGCACACGGGTAAAGTTCGGGTAGGGAAGGTAGGAGATGAGTGGTCCAAGACACTCACGTGCAGTTGACATCAGAGGAAGATGTCCCTCCTCACCACACTTTTCCCCTATCCCAAAAAAGACAACAGCCCTCCTTCTTATTCTTCACGGAATGTACGCATTCATTGCATGTTTTTCAGTAAAAAAAAAGAAAAAAAAAAAAGAAGCAAACAGAAAACAAAAATTCATTTTCATCAATAGCATAAACACTGCCTTCTCTTCACATTTAAAGCACTGGTGGATCGAAGTTCCGACCCATTTAAAGGAAGGCTCCCCTTTTCTTTCGTCCGTTTGGGTTGAATTTATTTTCCCATCAAATTAAAAGAAAAAAAAACCCACACACATGCCTCTCAAACATTGGAACAATGGCACCAGGTTTATTTGTGTGTTCATTCCACCACCACTGCCCATTCGGACCCCTCCGCCGGTCAACTGTTTTTACCCGGAAACTTAAAAAAAAAAAAGAAGGCGCGGCACTCCCCGATACAGGAATGGTGAAGCAAAGGAAAGTGCATGGTGCCAGCTGTTCAACGCCTCTTTTCCCCGCTTTCCGCACGGGACAGCCCTGTTGAATCGCCCGCTCCAGCGCTGAAGTAGAGCACCATGCCAGCACCCACAATAAACATTCGTAATTGACGAGGGAAATCAATAAAGCAGCTGCAAATGCCTGTTGTGTCACAGTCCATGCGTGTAAAATTGCAGCTTTAGGAATGATACTTTTCGCGATGGCATCCTTCTTCCAATTGTCAAGAATGTTAACACTTGTGCAGCCTCCCACATGTTACACATGAAGTCCAATCGCATCTTCCACACGGCGGCAAAAAAATTCCTCTGTTTTTTTTTTTTCTTCGACCAGGTTCCCGCAATACGCTTCGATGTGACTCAACCCTCATTCCTTCTCCGTTTTGTTGTTGTTGTTGTTGTGGCGAGAGTGTGTACACTTTGATGACGCTCCGTCCTTGGCGTGGCATCTTCCGCACCACCGCAGTCAGCAGCAGTGCGGCTTGCATGGCCTTGTCAACTTACTGGCACAATACAATAGCAGCATAACCATGCCGCAAGGTTGTAATAAATATTAAATCACAAAAGGCGTAAATAAATCGTTCTTTTTTTTTTTGGTTTATTAATTATTTATTTTGTCTGAAATTTACAAAGCAGTTAACTCTTCACAAAAGACACCGAGAAGAATGCTCGTGACACTCTGTGATGACTAAAATGCAGTTAACGTGAGGAGTTAGACATTTGACGGCAACTCATAAATCCACCCGTAAAGTGACTTTTACTCGTCCCCGTTGCTGCTGGTCAAGAGTGCAATTCCAGTCAAAATTGAAATACAGGCCAAGACAACGGACAAAATAAAAATAACTAAATAAATATAAAAGGGAAATTTATAAATATAAAAAAAAGAGAATGCGACCATGAACCAAATGCAATACATTAATCAAAGCTCATTTCATAATTCGACTTCGATTGAAAAACAAGCAAAAAAAATCTTTTTGAGAGTAGACAATGCACAAATACACATGTGGATAAGTACAGAAATTTACAAATAATCCTCCCGCCAAAATTTGATAAGAAAATCGGGTAAAGACAGAGAGAAGGCAATTGGCAAGGGTGTAGAAAAACATATATTATTGTTATTATTATTATTATTATTATTATTATTATTTATCTTTTCTATTTTTAAGTGTGTCCGTCGCCGCCTCATTACAAGGTCCAGTAAACCTTTCCAGTGGCAGTTATGGCATGCAGAGCCTTGAGAACTTCCCCCTGAGAGGCGGTTGTCTCGAGGAGATTGAGAATGCCCTTTTCAGAGGAGACACCCCCTGCCTCGTGCATTGACGCAACTGCACGAAGAGCCGCAACCCAAGAACAATGTTTCGTGGCGCCCAAAACATCATCGTAGACCGCAGTTGGAAGTCGCACGCCATGCGTATGGGCCCGCTCCATCCAAAATAACGCACTTTTCCAGCGACCAGCGAGCACGGAAGACTCAATGCAGAAACTTAGTTCTGCCTGCGTAAAGGCACCACAGTTAGAAAAGCAGGCCGCCATGGCTCGAGATGCAAGTAACCATTTTCCCTGCTTTGCCACATAAGAAGACAAGAGTGGAAAAACAGCAAACTGCTTGCGTACTACCATGGATGCCATGAAGTGTGCTGCAAGCTTCCAGTGTCCTGATTGGTCGGTGAGGGTGCGAGCCAACACACAAGCATCATTCTCTGTCATCGAAAGAGGACAAACATATTCTTGCAGCTTCTCCCCAACATGTGAGGGAAGCACTGTTGGATCCTGAGCGATGATGATCTTCAGGAAAGAGTTGAAGTTCATCACGTTGGGCTTTTTAAAATAAAGTGCAGTCGCCAAGTCCACGAAATTGTCCGGTATAAGTGGAGAATCCTTCACTTTGGAATTGGACGTTTTTAGCCAATGGGCAGCCAGTTCTCTACCGCATGGTGTATGCAGACACCTTAGCAGTACATCCACGACAGAATCTGGTTCATGCAACAACATGTGATCGTAACATTCTTGTAACCGTTCTGCCCGACGGTCAGCAACCAAAGGAAGTATGACATGATATAAAAACTGTAATTTTTGACTTTTTAATGACCTTACATCGCCAGCAAAGTATTCTATACGACTCTTGTGACCCGCATTACCCATAACACTTGCCATGATCCGTGGAATTCGTGGCTGCCGCTCCTGCTCCACATACTCAGTGTATAGTTGTAAGGCTTCTTCCCAACAAAATTTGGCATTCACAGTGAGACAGCATGCATAAACAGCTGGGGTCCACTCAGCATAAAAAGGTTTTACAGCGTGATAGAGCGCCAGGCTGTCTTTCTCATCATGTCTACAGGCATCGAACAATGCTACTAACACTCCATCTGAGAGAAGAACCTCTCTCGCATGTGCCAGGTAGCATTGTACTGCTCGCTGCGTTTTCCCAGCCAACAGGAGCGTCTGTATCGCTGCATCCAAGTTCTTCTTGGTGAGGTATGCATAATGACTGCCCATCTGTGCTCCTTCTGTCACATTCAGCGCGGCCTCCCAAAGACCCTCTTGCTGTATAGCCTCATACAGGCAATACACCTCCGCCAGAGAGTACCTATTGAGACTTTCCGCCACTTCCATCGCAGAGTACTGAAGAAGATCCTTAACGGGTGGACGACGTTGTTTTACCGGATTGAAACGACGGTGCGGAACACACGGATACTCGTACAAAACATCCCCAGCAAACTTGCCAGCAATACTGCTACTGACAATTGTGTCGTTCTTCACAGAAGCGTTTTCCGTTACTTCCTCAACATCTTTTCCTGAAAGTAACGCACATGGTATCGTGCAGTTCCGAGAGGCAGCCTCAGCTCTCCGTTTCGCATATGCGTCATCTCCTGTTAACAAGGAGACCGTCTTGTAGACGCTAGACCTCACCAAATCCCCACGTTTTGCCCAGAGCAGAGGGGAAGCAGATGCAACAATAAGAAGAATATCATCTAGCCCAAAAGGCAACATAATAATCGGCGCACGCTTCACGAACACACATACACAGGACAATATCCCACACACCCTGCCCTGCAATTCTCCTATTCCCCAGCTTCTTAGCAAGAAAAGAGACCGTAATGCAAAGGGAAAGAAAAAAAAAAGGGCAACAACAACGACACAAAACAAAAACAAGAAAAAAACAAAAAAAAAAAAAACCATTTTCTCTCAATTCACTTTTGAATCCAATTTATGCAGCAATGCATTGTGCAGATGACATCACTCTTCCTTCGTTCCCACTCGACTTTTTACTTTGGAAGGTTTTTTGTTTTTCTCTGCGACAAATACAAAACTCAATTTATTTCTTTTGTGTGTGTTGATTTGATTTTATTTTTTACATCCCCCTCTGCCCCCACCGCTCTAGCGCTTTTCAGTTTCTCAGTTCATTTTTTGCCGTTCTAAATCACAACTTTCCTCTCGGCAACTTCACTATCTAGCACGACCGCAGCCAAAGGCTTCTAATCGCAAACAGTACAAATACATACACACAGCCAATTCTCATCACCCACGCATCTGCAAACTTTCAGTTCGACACGAATCGAGGCCCATCCATGAGGTAAACTTCACCAATGCGGCCTCCAAACGTGACTTGAGGGTAACAACTACGTGTTGCATTCCACTGAGGGATCCGGCCATCATCAATTCGTTTCCCCTTTCCATCGTGAATGGAGAGCTTTGCGTGTTTAACGCTCGGGTGTACTGTCACTCGGAGTATAAATATGTACCTAGTGTCGCCACAGGTCACCACCCAAAGATGACTCAAATCGGGGGTGCGATTCGCCGACCACGACTTTAGGCCGCCCCCAACACCGACGCCAATGCCCACCCACTCACCGGGATCCTCCACCCGCAATGCCCACTGGAGACATTTCGGCTTCGTCCAAATGTTTTTCTTGCCATCGCCATGTGCAATAAGTTCATGAATGGGCACATCAAGTACGCACGTTCCACGGCATCCCGGAATGGCCATCCATTGAATCTGATGACGTCGCCGGACCGCACCAGGACTCTCCTCTAACCCAAAATCCATGCCCTCATTGCGGTGCAAAATCGGTATCGATCGCCTTCGCGGTGATTCCTTGGGTATCCTGTGACAACCGTTAGTGTTTTCCTTAAGGCCGTGGTTTCCATATAAGGAGGAACGTGGTCTCGGTATTCCACTAGACGGCCTGCTCTCTAAGTCTGTATTCCTATTCACCACCTGAGTTTGATCCTCCCAATCCTGCTGCTGCTGCTGCTGCTGCTGTTCCGGTTCAAATTCTCGCCACCCCATGCCCGTG